TCATTTTAGGCTCCAATACTGTAGTCAAGTTCTTGTAGGTACACTTCATAATCACTAAGAATTGCTAACCTTTTTGTTCAAGTAGGTCTTCTTAATGTTATATCATCATCTTCTTGAGAAAGTTGTGATTCAATTATTTGTTCAGGAGGTTCGGGTAATTTCTGAACTATCTTATCTACTTAAATGTTGTTATCAGCTTGTGGGATTTCAATGATTGATTGTTCAACACTTGCTTGCTCTTGAGTAGTGATGTGAACTATGACCAATTTGTCACTTGAGGTGGAAGGATGAGATTCTGAATGATCGTACTAATGAACTTTGAACCTCGTTTGATCGCTTTCACGTATCAAGTTATTCTCAAGAAACTTATCATTTCTTGATTCCACAATCATAGTGTTGTGAGATAGATAGTAAAATTTGTACCCTTTAGATCTTTTCGGCATATCCAATAAAATACCCACTAATGGTCCTTGAGTCCAACTTCTTCTCTTGTGAATTATAGATCCTCATTTCAGAAGGGCATCCCCAAACGTACATATGTTGCAAACTTGTGGATTATGGATCCTCACTTCATACGGATATCATATAATCTATTTTAAACACTTTTAACATATCAATTTGTATTGATACATCTTGATGAAAGAGTTGTCTAAACTAAATTAGGATAACTGTAGCACATGCAATCCATTTGACATTCTTCTCATTAACTCTTGTGAGAAAAAAAAAAACAAAATGACCCCACAAACAAAAGAATTGTATGGTACAATTGAAAAATCGGATAAGAGAAAGAAGTTAACAAAATAAGTTATGTGGATTTATGGCGTTGATCATACAAAGACCACTAAGAGACTAAAACGAGATGCCCCCACGGGCATGGTATAGTAGTAAAATAGAATGATTCTTTATGGAGTATCGGAAGTTCGAATTCCCGCGATAGTTAGAAAACAACATATATATTGGAATACAGATGTCCTACGGAGACGAAGTTATCGGGGCTTTTGAGGAAGTTTTTGCAGCTAGCTTTTGAGACCTCTTATTCTTACCTGAAGAGAGAGATGGAGTTTAAAGTCAATACACAAAAGAGCAATTAACAGCTAAAACTCAATTTGAGTACATTTTAACGTTCATTGCATGATAAATTGGATGTAAAACACCCAATTGCCCTAATTTTTCATCATTGTGACATAAGAGAATTTATTGGAAGATTTATTGGCATGTTGCAATGTCCCTAATTTCCAAAAAGTAAATATTTTTCATCAAAATCCTTCTCATTACTCATAGAAAATTGGAGCTTTTCTAATATGTAACCAAAAATTCAAAAACTGATTCATTGACACACATATATCATACACGCCTTTTCACTAAATAACTTGTATAATTCCTATTTCCATAAAGAAAATTCCAATTGACTAATATAGATGACAATCAGTGATGCGACACCGAATAATTAAACAGGGAATAAAAATCATTCAACAACAATTGATTAAAAAGAGTGAAATTTTGTACTCTGAATTTCATATATGATTATAAAAGAGACCCGAGTCCATTTCTTGAAGAGCTTGGGCTTGGGCTTGCGCTTGCCAGAGATGGAGAAAGGTTGGGGTTTTTGTTGGAGCTTTCCGATAGATGGTTCGTCGTGCACTTGCCTCTTCCTGTTCGCTATTGTGGCCTCTGCCGCTTTTGTACCCTTTGAATTTCGCCATCATTACAACTGATTTCTTCTGGGTTTGAAAAGAATAGGGAGGCACAAAATGGAGAGGTGTACTTGGGAGTACACGGATAGCAGTCTTGTCCTCCACACTGACGTCTTGTTTAAATAATTGAAGAAATTAAATTCACATATTATTTCTGTCATACACGTAGGCAAAGAGAGAAATGGAATCTGTCCGATAAGTGATAGAGTACAAAAATATAAACTTGAGTGGTAGCCAAAGTTTAGTGTGTGTTGAAAGTTGAAACATTTTTTCTCCTCAAAGTTCCTAAATAATAAAAATAAAAATGTACTTAAAAATTAAAAAATAATCACTTTAATTTTCCATTTCATTCTTACCATTCAATTTATGTTTATTAAATACAATTATTATTAATTAACATTATTGATTTCAAAAAATTAAGTCAATTAATTTCCACTACACGCAATTATTACTAATTATTAGTATATAATTAATAAAAACATTATTGCACTTTTAAAAATTATAATAATACTAAACATATATAATTAATTTGAAATGGCATAGGCTATGACTAATATTATTATATATGACCAGTGCCAAAATAACAATTGAGGAAAATAGAAGGCAAAAAAGAGTGTACATTGTTCACATCACCATGTCACTAACGTTGCCGGAATTAAAAAGAAAGGCACCTAACACTCCCACGATGTCACACAATACCTCATAAAACCTTATTATACTTTTATCGATGTCAATAATAAGACGACCTTAGCAATAATCACATGGCAATATCTGAGGCCATGAACCCATTTTGATATGAACTCGTCACGAGCAAAGAGAATCGAGGTCGCGTGTGCACAATAAATTGATACAGTTAATAATATTTAGTGAAAAAAATATGCAGTATGTACACTTAATAAGCCTTTGTTTGATCATTATCATTTACAAATATATTTTTTCTCTTCTTTTTAACAACATATTTTTCAATAAAATAATATTACGTGTAAATTCAAAAACAAATTCTTATTTTTTAACCAAACATTCTTCATCAATCTAGTATTCCAAAATACATTCTTAGTAAAAAAAAAAAATGGGGCTCAAACAGAAGCTATATAAAAAAACACTTATTTAATTATTCTGCCAACCAATCAATTTCATGTTTCAAAACTTTTTCGGTTGATAACCTACTGGCAAAAGTTCCACTCCCAATAATCGCAATAAATTGATCCTTAATAATTTTTTATAAAAGTATCATGCTACTTGTACATGGCCACATGAGCCTTGTATTTATGGGGGCGCCAGTTGCATACAACCATCATTTTCCTTTTACAAAAACTATTCAAGTTGTGCAATCCATAGTTATAAAATCTAGCTCAATCAGTCGGACCGGAAAATCGGAGGCTCAAGCCTGACTAAGTCGGGCAGATTAATTTAATAGAAATGTACTCGACTCGGTCAAAATAAGGCTTTGACCGTGTTAACCGATGATTTAACCGGCCAGCTGAGTTTTGAAATCCACTTGCAAAATTTTTGGGCTCAAGAGAATTGAACATTGGACCTCTAAAGGAAATAATTGATTCTCAATACTTGAACACAAAGTACTTTAGTATTATTTATGTTCAATAACTTGTATCTATTTAATGAATCATTTATAGGTTTTTTAAAAATCATTGATCCAACATTTTTCTTTATTTTATAAACCTAAATAATTAGTCAGAAGTAACTTAAAAACTTTAATTTTACCTAATTTTTTTATATTTATATTTTTTTGTAGATTTTTATGCAATAACCCATCGGTCTGACCACTAACTTGCTGGTTCGACTAGTAACCCAAGATCCAATACCTTGTTTTGATCGATATTCGGGTAGAGTCTAATAATTACGGTGTAATCTAAATATGGGAAAATTAGGCCCAATGCCCCTTAAACTAACTAAATTGAATAATACCCTTTTAAAACTAATTAAACAATTCAACCCGTAATTTATATGTGATAAACCTAAAATCCAATTTTCCTCGAGTACCGGACATTGGTACCGATGGAAACGTCGGAATCTCCACATTTGGCGACCCGCGACCAAACTAGTCGAAAGTCACCACTAGCTAGCTCCCCACCCCTGGACGACCTCACTCATGCCACCAATTACATGCCACCAATTTGCACCAAAATACTAGCAAAGAACCGGAATTGAATCCAGAAGTTCTCCTTGTCGCAATAGGTGCGACGCAATCTGTGAAAATTTGCAATTCCAACGCTGTTAAACGAATTCCGATTGCGGACCACCTGGACTAGGTGCACCTTCACCTAGCGCACCTTGCCTGACCATGGGTCAAGACCAATTACACCTGGGACCGGATCAATTTTTGGCTGCAACGATGAACTTGTGTGAAAAATTTGGAACTAACCAATTTGATGAATCTATGCTGCTCCAACAATCGGATTTGATTTTGCCCCTTTACCTTTTATTATTTGAACTTGATGTTGCAAGTGATTAAAACTCTTGGACTTTCATTACCGATAAGTCTTACTTTTAGTGGAAGCGGCTGTTAAGCAACAAATTGATAATTGCATCTTACCGAATGATAATGGCAGCTATATTTTAGGCACTAAAATGTAAAAATGTTTGCGTGTTAACTCATTTTTTTTATTTCGTCAATTTTGAGTGTTAGTCACTTTTTTTTTTTAATTTGTATCACTTTTTTTAAAATTTTCGTCACTTTTTTGAGTTTGTCACTTTTTTTGTCACTTTTTTAATCTGTATAACTTCTTTTAATTTGTGCAACTTTTTTGAATTCGTCACTTTTTTAAAAATGTCACTCTTTTTGAATGTTTTCACTTTTTTTTTTAATGTTTATCACTTTTTTTAGTTATCTCGATTTCTATCACTTTTTTAGTGACAAACATTAATTTTTAATAAAAGTGACATTGTATGTCATTTTTTAATAAAAAAAATGGCATTTAACTTTAAAAAGTGACAGTGAGTCACTTTTTCAGTGTCACTTTTTTTTACTGTCACTTTTTCTATTAAAAATAGTGAAAATTGATTTCATACAGTATTTTTTACTTTTAAAATATGTTTCATATGATTTTTAAAAGATCCTTAATTTTAAGGGTATTTTTGTCAGTTCCCCGAATCAAGACTGGAGCCCTTGGTTCCAAATTACTTGAGCCCGTAAGAGTCCATGTGAAGGCCCATTCAAGACACTGTTTATGGGCTAATCTTGAGCTCTGTAGACTGTAGTGGAGACCTCGACCATTTCAGAGAACTGCGAAGGGCTTTTCAGCTATAACACATACGGAGGTTAAGATCCAAAGGCAGAAAGAGAAAATGTGGAGGAGGCCGTCGTCGCTTCTAGCAAGAAGAACTTTCCTCGGTAGGAAAACGGCAGCTCAGAAGTTCAGGGATACAGTTTTTCATTATCAGGTATCCAATTCTGAGTTTCTAAAATTAAGCGTTCCATGTATTGAATCCTTGTTTCATAAATCGGATTTCTCCATCTCGGTATGTGGAAAATCTGAATTTTGTCCGAACCCAAGATTTTTCTCAACGAACCCATCTGAAAATTACGCGGAAGAAATCGCGGAATCGTCCGTTTCGGAAGCCAATGAAGGGTTCGGGGGGAGCTTGAATAATGTGTTTGATGAAAGTATGAGCTCTATTTCGTCGGGATTGGAAGCTGGGTCTTCGATCTTAAATGAAGACGCGGATGGCTTAGAGTTAAATGATGGTTTGGCTGCTGAAATTGATGAGAGTTCTGTTCCTATGGACCAAAAGTTTGGTTCTTTTGCAAGCGAGGAGGAGGAAATTGGAAAAATGGAGGAGAATGATATGGAAAAGGTGCAAAGTTTGTTGTCATTGCTTCAGAGCAGTGGTACTGCCGATGGTTCTCTAGAGAATGACTTTGAAAAAATGGGTTTGGTTTTGAATGAAGATTTTGTGACTATGGTGCTTGAAACACCTTATGTTCCAGGGGAGAATTTAATCGGCTTTTTCAGGTGGGTTTTGAAGAAATCGGAGTTTAAGGTGACGACACAGGTTCTTGACGCACTTGTTAGTGCAATATGCAAGGCAAATAGGAAGAGAGAAGCGTACGCTTTATGGGACCTGGTGCAGGAAGTTGGGGTGGAGGAGAAGGGCATCCTGAGTACTGGGAGTTTAAACGAATTAATAGCACTATTTTCGAGGTTAGGGAAAGGAAAGGCGGCATTTGATGTGTTCAATAAGTTTGGAGAGTTTGAATCTCCCACAAATCCTGATGCATATTATAGTACGATTGAAGCTCTTTGTAAGAGGTCATTTTTCGATTGGGCTTGTTCAGTTTGTGAGAAGATGTTACAAGATCATAAACTTCCTAATAGCGAGAGAGTTGGGAAAATAATTTCTTATTTGTGCAGGGGAAGTAAGGCTAAAGATGCACACTCAGTTTATCTGTCCGCTAAGGAAAATAAAATATATCCTCCTCGGTCTTCTGTAAATTTTTTGATCAGCTCCCTTTGTCGACTTAGACAAACTGATAAAGAAACACCTACAGAAATCGATGAGGAAACTGATAGGGAAACTGTTTCCTTGGCTTTAGAGATGCTGAAGGATTATACAAGAGAAGAAAGGATGTATGCAATTAAGCCTTTCTCGAGTGTCATTCAGAAATTGTGTTGGATTGAAGATGTTGAAAGGGCAAAAACATTGCTCCTCGAGATGATTGATGTGGGTCCACCTCCTGGAAACGCCATCTTCAATACAGTCATCAACGGGCTTGCAAAAGTCGGGGACATGGATGAAGCTATGAAAATAATGAGACTGATGGAGAGCAGAGGTTTGAAACCTGATGTATACACTTACAGTGTCATTATGAGTGGCTATGCAAAGGGTGGTGCAATGGAGGAAGCATGCAAGATTTTCGATGAAGCCAAAAAGAAGCACTCTAAGCTGAGTCCTGTTACATATCATACACTCATTCGTGGGTTCTGCAAGCTTGAACAATATGAGGCGGCTGTGAATTTGTTGCGGGAGATGAAGGACCATGGAGTTCACCCAAATCATGATGAGTACAATAAGCTTATCAAATCTCTTTGCTTGAAGGCTTTAGATTGGGAAACTGCGGAGAAGTTGCGAGAAGAGATGAAAGAGAATGGCTTGATTCTAAATGGTAGAACAACTGCTCTTATAAATGCAGTGAAGGAATTACAAGAAGAAGGGATAAGCCATGAAGTAATTGCTGCAGCCTGAATTGAATCCAATTTACCCTTTTACTGAAAGCTAATTTAGCGTCAAGATTTTGATGCCAAATCTGGGACCATTTTTGTAATGTTTTTCTTTTCCTCTTCTTTTTTTTCCAGTTAGTGATATAGAATATAATTGAATGCATTTCTGGTGAAGTCCATTATAATTTCTGTGCTGTTTATGTTCACTTTTCGTTTGAGAATTTGGTGAAATGAGCTTTTCTTTCGCATCTTGACTTGCTTAAATGCTACTTTTCTGGAATAGTTAGTATTTATGGTTAGTAAAGAAAGTAGTTTTGAAAATCATGGCAGAATAAGTTACTTTAAGCATAACGAAACGTGTTCTAAAGCAATTTACATCATTTCTTGATCTAACCTGGTGATTGGTGGCGCATTAAGACGACGAAATTTAGAACAGCTGTGAGACCTAATTCCTCGCGTGTACATTATCTACTACCGTTATTATCACGCAGCACCTGCTCTATTACAGTCAAGTGACAGTCAGTCATTTTATCTACATTCAAGCAGTATTCTGAACTGCTCGAAATACCTTTTCTTCTCCAGCTGTCTTTTGACTCTCGTGATGTCAGCCCATTTATCAACATTACAGGAGACGATTGTAATCAGATGTGAGCTGCTTTTTGTGTTGGTTTGATATATAATTTGCTGAGGGGTTGCGTGCTTAGCATGTGTGGCAGTTTATGCGCGTATGACCAGATTAGATTTTATTCAGAGACTACATTGCTACATTTTTATTTTTATTTTTTGTGATTTTCCGGATGTTGTGATGTGATGAAAATAGATTACAGCTTTTGGCTGATGATTATGTTATGATATTACCTGAAATTAATGTGATAGAGATGTTCTTAATATGTTTTCGAGCATTGTTAACCTGCAGTACGAGAATGTCTCACAATCTTTACTATTGTTATTATAGGATGTTATACTGTGAAATGTTAAGTACTCGATTTTTGATAAATATGTATAAATGAGAAAGCAGGTTATTTTCAAAATTCTCCCCTCTCTGAGTTTATCAACTTTTTATCAGGTAGAAGTTGAGTTCTTGTGCAACTTTTGAAGACAGAGCCTTTGATTTTGGAGTGAAGCCTCATGATAGAGCTAGTTTGTATGACTGACTTCATAAAGCAGGTAGTCCTTATTTTGGGAAACATGTTCATTTTGGATATCATTTTGCATCATTTGTAAACAGCTATGTTGATTCATTACATATTTTGTATCTACATGTATACTTTACGTTGTTTTAGTAATAAAAGTTTCTAAGTTCAACTTCTCTAATGCGTTGTTTTGTTGTGGTTATTGGAAAGGAAAATGGTGTCGGATTTGTTGTGATTATTATGATGGGTTATGTTGCATTTTATTGCATTTTGGTTAGTACAAATTACATGGGAGATAACGTCGATTTTTTTTTTTTTAAGTAAAAATAAGTTGCACGATATAGTAGTTTTGATTGTGGGTTGAACCTCTAGATGGTATCTATCATCAGCACGTCACATTTAAGGTCCATTATTGTTACTCGGGATGAGTCACGATAGTTTTCACCATGAGTTGATGAACGGATATATACGTGTACTAGGTAGACCACGATTGAGTGGGATGCAAACAACCAAGGTGTACACAGTCAAGTGGAAGGTCCTCGGCCAAGTGGATGTTTACTTGTGAGGTTTTTTGGGCTTCACTCCGTTTTTGGTGGCGATCGTGTTGTTAAAGAAGTTTTATTGATGATTACTTGTTTCGTATTAGTGGTCTTAGGGTGTGTTCGGTAAAGATTAAAATCGCATTAAAATTGAAAAACTAGTCGTTATTGTTGACTTTTATTAAACGAGTGACACCCAATAACGGCTATATTTTCAATTTTAGTTGGATTTTAATCCTTCCCAAACAGGTTCAGTCTATTTGTATCAGCGAGGTACAATAATTTCGAAGACCCCCTCATTTTGAAGGTAGCATTGAATGAAAATTCTCTCCCTTTTTTCTTTTTCTTCCTTGTCTTGCCCTTATATTTTTGCTCATATTTTTTTCTAGTCGTTGCATCGGTGTATATATATATATATATCTTCTATATATTAAAAGTGGCCACGTAACGAAATTTCTTGTTTTTAACGGAAAAACTAACGAAATTTGTTGTTTTAACGGATTATGTAACGGAATTTCTTGTTTTAAACAGGCAGCTGCACCTTCGTTCAGTGTTTTTATCATAACTTTGTATTCCGATATCCGATTGAGGCTATTCAAAATGCGTTGGAAAGCTAACTCATCTGGCTACAACTTTGATTCAGACATCATTCTCCAATTCGATCACTTTCTATGCCAAAAATAGGTCTCAATATGAGACTAAAACATCGGAGCATAACTTTTCGGTTGGAAATTGATTTGTGATCATCTTTTGACTAAATTTGATTCCATTGACGTCTTCCTTTATCCAATTGACTCCGAGCACTCTCAAATCTTCATCGTGAGGTTCGGCACAACTTTTAAGTATTTACATTTTAGTCCCCGAACTTTGGATCCCTTACAATTTAGCCATTTCTCCAAATTTGTCAACTTTTGCTTATTTTCTTCGATCTCACCAACTTACATTACAACATCAAAATCACACATCTAATTATTTATCAATTACATAAACATTACATCATTAATTATTTAATTAACTAAAAAATTTACATCTTTATTAATAACAAATTAATTATTAAACAAAACTATTAAATATAAACTAGGCAAACGTGCATTGCACGTTGCTTGCGTCTAGTGTGTGTATATATATATATATATATTATTCAAAAAATTAGTTGAAACATGTTTCTATTTATTATCAGGATTTTAATTCTCACGACCTTGTGCCATGAAAACTTGTCGAGAGAATAGGGTAACATTAAGATATAAAACAAATCATAGCATGAAGCAACTTATTGGAACAAAGTACATCGATGGAAAAATGAATAATAGTCCTTCCTTTGTTTTACTTTGATTACCACATTTTACTCAACTATTTTTAAAATTTCGTATATTTGAGAAAAATTCAAACAACTACTATTCTATAATTGTTTTGTCCTACTGGGTTTAACCTAATGTATGTCGTTATTTTCTTAATTTATCATATATTGGTATGGCTCTACTTTGTGGAGTATATTGTCATTTTGTTGTATCCACCCTTGATATGATTTTGTATCTATCTCAACATCAACATATATATTCGTCTTGGCTTGATGGCTAACCGGCCATGATATCCTTATCACGCCAAAACTAACATTACTTGTTATAGTTGCTATTTGATAAATATCTAGTTGCATTTGATCTCTCAATAGATCTAGCAACAATAGAGCAAAGAAATGAAGAAAGATTCATGTAGCTTGTCCCAAATTCATTAGGAATAAGTTATAATATGTTGCTTATATGATCTTGTGATGTTGCTAAGACATAGTTGTAACGATCCGACATCTATGTCCAAGCTGTTATATCATATGTACGGTTCCCTTTGTGAGAACATCTACCTTCTTACCTTTCACGACTTTCTGTCGCTTCCATGAGGATTCAAACACAAAACATTTATCTTATGAAAGATTTAAGTTGAATTCTGATATCAATTGGGTAACTCTTATAGGATTGTGTTGGACTTAAAATTGAAGAAAGATTCTATCTCCATTGTTGTGTCCGTCAGAAGTTGCAATAGGCTCCTCGAGTAGTTCGCCTCCGTTCTTCTGGAGGGCAACTTCTTTTTAGGGTCTAAAGCATGACATCAACTTTTTGAGGGGGTTCATGGAACCTGATGCTTAATAAATCAGTACTTTAACCGACTTGACCGGGGTAGAGCAGGGTATAGCCAGGCTGCAAGCTTCAATTTGCTGCTCCTTATCAGCCCCCTTCCCCTTGCTTTTTGAAAGAAAAGAGCGCATGTTGTCTAAGGCTAAGAGGAAATTGAAGTGAGAAAGAAATCAGCAACAATGATCAACTGGGAATCAGGAGGATACACAGGAAAAAACTAGTTAATTTTGATATTTAGACTGAAATAAGAAGAAACTAAGAGAGCAGCATATGCTTTCATGACTCGTGAGGTTAGATTTTGACTAATGAAGAGGAAAGACTTTGAACGTGAAAACTAAAAGAGTGGTTGAAGATTCTCTCTTTGTAGGGTATACCTGCCTCATATATCAATTGACATTTTGTCGAGTTTCAGGACAATGGAGCCAGTTGTCTCCTATAGAGAGTTGATTTTAAATACATGATTCAAGAGGAGACTTGGATTTCTAGGACACAATATCATTTTTTCTGGAACTCATATTCTCTGCATAAAACAAATTTGTAATTCCATCTGTGTATCCACCTATGTTTTTCTTAGTCGGTCTCAGGCCCTCGTAAAAGTAAGAAGGTTAAGGTTGGTTGTGTTAGAAATATAAATCATATCTAAAACCGAAATCAAATCTATATGCAAACATCATAGATTAAAATCACCAAAAGTTTAGGATCTACATCATGTCAGAATATTAGGATTTACAGATTTGGGTTATATACCGGATCCATTATGAACGATTATTAACTGTTGCGGAATTATTACGACAATCGATCACGTACTGATGAACACGAACGAAGGGGTGTGGTTTGTGTCTTCCTCAACCAAATCGTCTTATTTCCTCAATGAGACCGTCGTCTATCTTCCAGATGGGAGAAGGGAAACTATGTATGCTTTGATGTGTTGGGGATCATAACCAAAATGATCTTTATATATTACATAATTAGAGTTCTCATAATCCCCTATTTATAACAATATTGGTATCTACTCAATTAGCTCATATTTATTATAATTGAATTAAATATGTTGCCATTAAATATAAAAAAATCATTGGTTTTCCTAACCTCCTAAATATTTAGGAGTGCCACTCCTAAATAATTTAGAAAATCGTTGGTTTTCCTAACAGGTTGACCACTAGCTTAAAACTTGTCAAAACTTATGACATGAATCCTAAATTCCTAATACACCTATGTTCTTTGGTGAGTTATGTGGATTGATTAACAAAAAATCATAATCTAGTTGCTCATGCGTTTCTTCAATTTAACAAGCAGTGGAGGAATGAATACCGGGACTATGTACAACTATGCTTAAGGAACAATGCTGGAGTGTCAGGGACGGTTTGACACCCTATGTAATAGATCCCTCACAATAGGGGGGATGGATGATTTTTTTTTCCTTTTTTAATTCATATGGGTCCCGCGTGGATTCCACTATAAATGTGAGAGAATGTCAACTAGAATGTCAAATTTCTTCTAGTAAAATTGTTTAATCCATGCTTAAAATATGCACAGACAGGCTGAAAATGTTACAGGTTGGTAAGTCTTCAATGGGATTAGTATGGTTCAAGGTTTGCCGATGATGAGTAGTCACAAGTTTTTTTTTGGCTTTTACCTATGACCTCAAGGCACCGATTGAGAACAATTTTGGGAAGAACGATGTAAGTAGCTAGATCATATTATGCGTCAATCTAAACATTCTCCCATGTATAGGAGTAACACGATTTTGGCAGAGCAAGTTATACGAGGGAGGGGTAGACAAAATTAAGACGACTAGTTTTAGTTGATAATATCTAGTTGTATTAGATGTCCCGATAGATCTAGCAAGCAACTACTAAAGATTAATAGAATTCACCCTAAACTTAGCGATGGAAACAATAACAGTCGTTACAATTAACTCCTCCTTCAAGAATTGATGTCCACAACAATTCATATTTCTAGTTGGGTGACTTTGTGGAATAGCCTTCCCCGAGTCACCTATCCACAACTCTAGAAGGGTACATGCCTACTGCCCGCTTCATTACCAACTGTTACAACCGTAATAATTAAGTCACTAGCAACTAGCAAGGAGAGGGTTCTTATTGGTTACAAATTGACCTGATATAGATAGTGAATTCTAATGGAACCAAGCAATCTAGGAACGGTGACCTGACTTCTCGATTTTCCGCAGCGCTTTAGCAACAGTCATCATATCTGGCCTATCTTCTCCCTTCTCTTGGATGCATCTGTAAGCAATATCTAGGAAATCTTGCAATTGTATCTCTGCTTCATTCCCCCCTTCTTCTGTAATTTTCTGATCTACGTAATGTTTTAATTGATCCTTCTGCAAAAAGCCCGTGTCGCACTTACTGATTCTGACTATTTCATCTACCGGATGTGGCCATATAGATTGTTGTCCAGCCAGGAGATTGAGTAAAAGCAAGCCAATACTATAGACATCAGTTTTCTGGTTAACAGTTTTTGACTTTGCATACTCAGGGTCCATATTTATACAATCCACTAACAAAACATCTTTCACCTGGAATTCTCCAGGGGGAAGCATTACTGAGTTTGAGAAGTCAAACATTTTAGTAACACCAAATCGATCGATGATCACTTTATCTGTCCTTAGCTCTCTATTATAGATCACAGGCCTGGGAAATGCAGCATGAAGATAGGCAATTACATATGCAATATCAGCTGCGACTTTGAGTCTGCTTTTCCAGGGGAAAAAATTATCGCAGTTCGAGTAAAGTAGATCAGTTAGAAGTTCAATTCCAGCATCTTCATATACCATCGCCGCGTATTTGAATTCCAGGCAACAGCCTATAAGCTTTAATACATTTTTGAGATGGCTCGTTTGTGATGTAATCACTATATCACGGATGGCTCCATTAATTTTCCGGTGACTGATTAGTTCCTCACGGAACATCTTCACTAAAACTGGGCGTTCTCCCAAACATCCTTTAAATAAATAACCATTTTCACTGATATGCACACACTGCACGAAGTCGTTTGTCGCTCTGA